GTGAGTTCCAGGAAAAGGCGCAAAGCTACATAGAGAAACCCTGTCTCGAAAAACAAAAAAAAAAAACAAAAAAAACAAAAACAAAAAAAGAGCCTGTTGGAGCAGCAAAGTGATTGTCCTGTTCTACAGTTCCTGTGCCTGGGAGGGCTGCTTTCTTGAGGTCACAGGGGCAGAGCAACCATGCACGTCAGTGATGAAGGATGCCTCTTGGGATGCTCAACGGAGTGGGAAAACGCCCCCTTATTTCTGACCTGTTAAAACTAGAACTGGGCCTTGCAGGCATCTGGGACCCTGTGCTCACGCATTTGAACCTGGGAAACTGGAATGCTGAGATCTGCTAACTGCCCCCCAACTCTCAGAACCTTTTTCTTTCCTACACAGGATAAACTGAAGCCCCTTCCCCCCAAAGAGACACACCCAGTATTAAAGATTCTAGAAGGCTGAACTGTTAACTGATTGTGGAGAATTAGAATCTCCTTGATCCAGAACTGAAGTATCTGGGGCTACTTTTAGTTTTCTTATTAGCTAGCTATTCATCGTCCACACCTTTGTCTGACTGTATGAGTTACCTTACTGCTGCTGCGATAAAACACCATGACCAAAACAACTTACAGAAAGAAGACTTAGTTTTGGTTTTTGTTCCCGGGGGAACAGAGCCCTCCTGGTATGGAGTGTGGCAGCAAGCTGCAGGTATGGTGGCTGGAACAGGAAGCTGAGAGTTCACATTGTCAAATGCAAGCCGGAAGCAGACAGAGTGAACTGGTAGAGTTCACAAGGGAGGCTTTTAAACCTCAAAGCCCACCCCCAGGAACGTACTTCTAGCATGGCTCCGTCATCTAAAACTTCAAAACAGGGCCACTGCAGACCCTGCAAAACAGGCCACCAACTGCAGACCAAGTGTTCAAATGCCCAGACTATGGGGGGGGGGGATTTCTCATGCAAACCACCACACTGTTCTAACTTCCTTTTGACTATCAGTTCCTTACAAACGTATTCTCCTGGCTTCTGCTAGTTCGGACGTTAAGAATGTCATTAGATAACACCTGAAACCTGTGGCCGGATTTTCTCTCTTTACTGAGAATCATGCTTGTGTGGTCCCCACCAATTATTATGACTTCGTTTGTCCTGTGACTAATACAGTCTCATGTAACTGTTCTAATGGTAGCACACAGTCTTAGGGCCATCGGAGTCTGTGTTTTCAGGAAATGCTCACCTGTGTTTGCTTTAGAATAAACCATGTCTTATTCCCTTTGAATTGAGAGCTGTGTTTAGTCCACAGGATGGAAAGTATCAAGGTGGGTCTTCGCTGAGCGGGCCTGGGCTGGGCCTTCCCTGCCAGAGGGCTTGGTCTGTTGCTCGGTGATGAGCACAGACCCTGTAGGAGCAGGGTGGAATTAGGGGATGCCATGGTGGACGTCACAGGGGGCTTCACTGAACTCGAATAGAGTTGGTTCAGAATCCAGCAAGCCTGCTTCTGGTCTGGCAGCCTGATGCCAAGCCTGGGATTTTGGGCATCGGCTTTGTGACGCTGGGGCCTACTTTTTTCGGTTTCCTCCTGTGGAAGGCCTCCTACCACAGGATTATTGTGAGGGGCACAGGGATATGAGGCATGGCAGAAACTGTGCAAAGATACCCTTTAAAATGCCCCCAAAGGCTGCAGAGTTGGAAGTTTTCCTCTTTTGCTAGACACAGCACAGGTTCAAATCTCCAGTTATTGTGGAGGGTGATGTCCGGCGGAAGAAGGTGAGGGTCGCAGCGTTGTGTTTTTTAAATTGCAGGCCTTTTTTTGGGGGGGGGGGGACGACTCTGCCTCTCTTCTTCTTGTTTTGTTTTCTGAGGCAGGATCTCATGTAGCACAGGTTGGCTACATGAAAACCTGATCCTCCCGCCTCCATCTTCCATGGGTTGGGATTACAGGGACGTGTGATCACTGGCTTATATTTTGGTCGCAGGTGCATTAGTCCTCTCTCACAAGCCTAGGCCAGGGACTGCCTTTTCTGTGCACGGTGGTGTCAAACCCCTTAGGGCAGACGCCCCCAAGGTTTGCTGAGGATGGCAGGGTGGCTGGCAGGCTGGGTGGGCGAATGAGTTGTCAGAGAACAGCTGGGCGGGCAGAGACTGGGCAGAGACTGATGAGAGCCATTGTCTCCCCGTTGCCTGGCGTTCCTAGTGTTAGGATGCTGGGCAGGCTGACCGCTGGAGGAGAAAGCTCACCAGCTGTCACGCTGGGCCACAGACCCTGTGTGCCGCGGCACTGAACTGCCTTGTAAGCTCTGCCCACGGCGCGGTGGTGGCGTGTTTGTGAGGAAGCCGACTGCTGCCTGATCTGATCTGAAGTCGGCTCCGTGGGAGAGCGCGCGTGCGTGCGTGCGTGCATGCGTGCGTGCCTACTGCTGCAGAACTGGTCCAGAGCTCATGTATGGCCAGGGAGGTCGCAGGCCCTACGGGGAAACCCACTGCTGATGTTTTGCCAAGTGGAGGCACAATTAAACTGCCTCCTAGCTAGTCGTGTTCACGACATTAATGTGTGTGGGGTGTGCGTGCCACTGTGAAGGTATGGCGGTCAGAGGGAGTGGTGCCCTAATCTGTGGGGGGTTGGTTCCCATTCCTCCACGTGGGTCCCCGGGGGATGAACTCAGGTTTCCAGGCTTGTTGGCAGGTGTCCTGACGAGCGGAGCCGTCTTGCCAGGCCCTGAACAGCCAGCCTGTGTTTACACACACACACAGGCAAATGCAGCTCCCGGACTCGGTGAGGGACATCTTTCAGCAGTAAGCACTGGTCAGGATTGGGGGCTTGAGAGCGAGTGCTGAGTGCTTGGTACTAACTGGGACGTGGACGTCACCCCCTCGGAGGCCCAGGGAGCGTCATGGAAGAGGCTGTGGAGGGACTGTGGGAACGGAAGAATGAGGAGGCGTACAAAGACAGTTACCTGCGTTGTCGTGTGTCCCAGGTCCTTGTGAGGTGCGCCCTCCTGTTAGCCACACAAGTGAAGCTTTCTGTGTTTGACATCGAGACGACATCGCACAACGCGTTAGGGTCACGTTCATAGTCACCCCGGGATGCATGGCCTGAGCCCAGTGGCACCCTCGGTTGGGATTCCTGAGCAGTGGGTGGGTGGGCTTCTCGATGGAACGGAGAAGTGGGCCGGCGCAGGGGTGTTGTGGAGAACATTCCAGAAGCAAATGATGTGGGCAGAGTGTGACGGTCTGTGTACGCTACGTCATTGACGCGGAGGAGTGTCGGGCTGGAGGCTCTGGGGGGCCGTCCCGCGTTCATTGCCCCGGTGAACCCAGTGTGATCTGTCTTGTCTCTCAGGTCCAGACGATGAATTACGTGGGGCAGTTGGCCGGCCAGGTGTTTGTGACGGTGAAGGAGCTCTACAAGGGCCTGAACCCCGCCACGCTGTCGGGATGCATCGACATCATCGTGGTCCGCCAGCCCAACGGCAGCCTGCAGTGCTCCCCTTTCCACGTCCGCTTCGGGAAGATGGGCGTCCTGCGGTCCCGGGAGAAAGTGGTGAGCCTGCGCCCGGGCACTGGCCCCCCCCCCCCCCCCCCCCCCCCCGTCCGGAGCTCTCAGGCTCACCACTCAGGATGCCGCATGGCACAGTGGGATGCTCACTCAGGATCCCATTGTTCCAGTTCCTAGGGCAGTGTCAGTTACTCCGAGATGTCAGGCACACCCACTGCTTATCAAGTCGGAGGCTCAGAAGGGAGGGCAGGGCAGGGGGCACCGCAGGGCAGGGCGCAGGGCAGGGCAGCACCCGTGCCTGGGGGCTGGTTCTGTGCTCTAGGTGAGATCACCGGGCAGAGCCCTGCCATGTGGTCTGGTTCCCTTGCTTAAGCATGGTGGCTGCTCATGAGAGACGAGGTGGACATGGTGTTTTTATGACCTTGTTTCGGAAGTCCTGTGGAGTTACTTCTGTTGTAGTCTACTGGTTAGGTGTCAGTCACAAGCCCCTCTCGTCCTCCAGCAAGAGGGGAAGGATGCATATTGGTGGGGAGTGGAAGGTTCTGGAACAGCAATGGAGGTGTTGAAAAGGACCAGAGTAGCCATGTTTGGAAACCCAAGTCCCTCCCTCCCTCCCTCCCCTCCCTCCCTCCCTCCCTCCCTTCCCAGTGCTCAGGGCAGGTGTGCCTGGATGAGGGACACCCACTGAGACCTGAGCAGCTTTTGGGGGAGGGACTCTCACCGTGTTCTCTGGGTTCTCTCTTCAGGTGGACATAGAGATCAATGGGGAGTCTGTGGATTTGCACATGAAGTTGGGAGACAATGGAGAAGCATTTTTTGTTCAAGAGACTGACAATGACCAGGTGAGGAGTGTCGGGTGTCCAGGGTCACCCCAGGGCGTGGAGTCACAGCAGGCAGACACGAGGAGGAGGAATTCTGGGCCCTTGGTTGGGGACATGTTGGCATCAGAGCAGAGTACTTGCTCACCTTCCCAGGAGCAGAGCCAGGCAAGCCGAGTGCGTGCTGAGGCCGCAGGGACCCAGCCCTGGCCTGCTTCAACTGACCTGCCTTTTCCAGGGGACGGAGGGACTGACATCACACACTGGCCAGACTGTGCTGGTGGGACAAATCTGAAATGACCCAGCATCCTCATTTTAATTTAGTAGGGGGACCAAATCCTTTTCCTTTTCTAGTATTACTGTGTGTATGTGGTGTGTCTTAGTTAGGGTTTCTTTTGCTGTGAAGAGACACCAGGACCACAGCAGCTCTTATAAAGGAAAACATGTCATTGAGGTGGAGGCTGACGGTTTCAGAGGTTCAGTCCATTGTCGTCATGGTGGGGAGCATGGAGTGGAACATGGCAGACAAGATGCTGGCTATATCTTGATCAGCAGGCAACCGGAAGTGGACTGAGACACTGGGTGGTATCTTTAGCATGGGAAACCTCAACGCCCCTTCGGGAGCTGGTTCTTTACCCCCACTGTGCATCTCAGACACGGAACTTGAATGGTTAGGTTTCACAGCAGGTGACTTACCAACCAGATTTTGGGCTCCAACTGTTAGTGTTTTCAGTGGCTCAGTGGTTTGATAGACCACATTCCATTTAGAGACTCTAGGGTTGTTGCCACCTTGTGGCTAGTGTGAGTAATGGTACTGTGTACATTCATATTCAGGTTTCTGTGAGAACATTGGGGGGGGGGGCGCTTTGACCTCACCCCCACCCCTCCCCAGTGTATGCCTAGAAGTGAAATTACTGGGTTGTGTGGTGACTTCACGTTTAATACTCTGAGGGTCTGGGCCTGAGCAGATGACTGGGTGCTTTAAGAGTGCTTGTTCTGCAAGTTTGAGGACCTGAGTTCGGATCTCTAGCACCCGAGTTAAGAAAAAAAGCTCAGTTCATGACTCTGACTCCATCCAGCCTTGCGGGGCAGAGACGGGTGTGTGTGTGTGTGTGTGTGTGTGTGTGTGTGTGTGTGTGTGTGTGTGTGTAGAGAACTTGCTGGCTGAAACAGCTTGCTTAGGTTCAGTGAGGGAGACTGTGTCTTAATGCCGGGGTGGAGAGTGACAGGGTGAGATACTCAACAGCCGGTGTAGGGCTCCCGTGAAGCAGTCTTACCCAGGGGTTCCTTAAGTGGAACTAAAGCTGGCTCCTTCCTGGGAAGGAAGCTCCCTGGATCCTCCAGCACCGAAACCAGCCTCTGCAATTTAGACTGCCCCAGGCTAGTGCCTCCCTGTTATCTACCTGAGCGAACAGTGTCTGGGCTGGAAGCCAAGGTCCACACCCCCCCTGTCTGCTGCAGACCCACAGCCTCCAGGCACCTCCTGTCTAAATGGGAAGCCCGGAATGTTCTAGCTGAGATTATTATAGCCTCCTATTGCTCCCTGCTGAGGCCCATTTTAGGCTCTAGGTGTTGAGGCGTCCTTTGGGGCCGTGTAGCAGCCGGGCCAGCTCAGCATCTGTGGCTGCCCGGAAGCTGGCTGGAAGCTGAGACCTGCATGCTGTATCACCGACTGCCCCCTTCTTCTTGTGCCGGCTCTACCCGTCTACACCTCTCTCTGAGGGTTCCCTGTCTCCTGGCTCACTGGGTACACTGTCGGATGTGCTCTGGAGTGGCAGGCCTGCAGACGCAGCTGTCATCTGGATTTTTATTTTATTTTAAATGAGGCCGGGCCTCATGTTGGAGTGTGAGAGCACACACGTACACACACCCACCCACTCACCCGTAGAAACCCATTCACACTTACTCTGATACTCAGTATAAAATGTAAAACTGTGCCCAGGTCCCAGCAGCAGTGTCGCGACTCGGCCGTCATTTTTCTCCGCCCTGGGTGTGTAGATGAGCTTTGATGGTTTGAAGTCACTGGTAACGGCCTGACTCTGTTGTGATTCTGTGAAGGCTGTGTTGAGTACCAAACAGTAGTAGAGGAGTTCACCACCCCGACCCGACCCTCCGTCTGATGTCTCCCCCTGGCTGTGAGATGTCCGGTTGTCCTGCTGTGGCTCTCTCTCTCCCTTTGTCACGGCCCGGCCCTTCTCCCTCACCCGTGTTAATGGGACTCTTGAACACCTGCCTTGCAGGAAGTCATCCCCATGTACCTGGCCACGTCCCCCATCCTGTCTGAAGGAGCTTCTCGCATGGAAAGCCAGCTGAAAAGGAACTCCGTGGACAGAATCCGGTGCCTGGATCCCACCACGGCTGCCCAGGGCCTGCCCTCCAGCGACACTCCGTCCGCTGGTTCCCTGGGGAAGAAGAGAAGGAAGAGGAGGAGGAAGTCTCAGTTGGACAATCTGAAAAGAGATGAGAACGTCAACACATCTGAGGATGAGGACATGTTTCCCATAGAGATGAGCTCCGATGAGGACGCAGCCCCGACGGATGGAGGAGGCAGGTAAACAGTGAGGAAAGACGGGGTCTGTGCTGGAGAAGGAGGAGGTAGTTTCTTTCCTTTTTGGACAAATTGAACTGAATCTGTAGCTGAGGATCACCTTGGACTTCTGATCCTCCTGCCCCACCTCCCAAAGGCTGGGGTCATAGACGTTAACCACCACACTCCATTTTTGTGTGCTGGGGTCGAACTTAGGGCTGCGTGTGTGCTAGGCAGACAAGCCATGGAGCCTCCCCGCCCCCCTCAGATGGGTCTTTTTATGGCTTATCCTAGACCTTGGCTGGCATCACGGCCTTCGCTGCCTGTGGCCTCTAACTACTGTGGGTACTGGGGCCGTTAGGCTCGGGCTGGTTGTCACAGCTTTTCCTTTGCGGCTTTCCGGTCCAGACCGGCCACAGGTCCTTCAGGAGTGTCAGAAGTACAGACTGGGGTTGTGAACTGTGTGTTGTGATGTCTGCACTCCCAGCTGAGGCTAGGGAGTTTGACAGGTCCAAAGATGCACATGATTGATGCCATGTACTTATCTGGCTGTGCATAAGACATGTTCTGTGTGGGCTTATTTATTTAAACGGCAGTCCCCCTGTATATGGGAATGTTCTGGAACAGCTGGATCCAGTTCCAGTTGACCTGCCTCTCAGACTCTGGTGAGGGTAACGTGAAAGGTGACAGAAAGATGCTGTAGGTGTGGTAGCACACACAGGAAGCCCAGAACCGGGGAGACTGAGGCAGGAGGATCACCAGCTTGGGTGACTTAGTGAGACTCTACCTTTAAATATGCAAAATAGGTAATAGCTCCGTTAGCTCAGTGGTAGAGTGCTTGCCTACTGTGTGTGAGTCCTGAGTTCCATCCCCAGCAACACACACACACACACACACACACACACACACACACACACACACACACGGTCTGCTCATTGTGTTCATGCTCTGGTGAAATCATTGTAAGTTTACAGTCCGCCCAAGGCAGGTGCACAAACACACGTTTATATGCGCTGACATTTTCCATTTCCATCTTCCCTTTCTAGAATGTGCCTGAGTGTGACAGAGGTCATGCTGATTAATGAAGCCCTTAGATATAATCAAGAAGAATCGTGGCTTTATTATGGACCTGCCCTTGGTAATTTTTTCACTATTTTTTTTTTTAAATCTCCCCAGAACTCTTCCTAATGATGTACCACCATTCCAAGACGATATTCCCAAGGAGAACCTCCCCTCAATATCATCGTACTCCCAGTCAGCATCGTACCCCAATTCAGACAGAGAGTGGTCCCCCAGCCCCAGGTAAGTTGCCTTTTTTGGTCCAGAGTGCTTAGAAATCAGCTATAGGAGGCATGTCTAAGAAAATAGGGAAATAGAAATTAAAACTGAAAATAATTAGGATCAGAATATCTCCAGTGTGTGTGTGTGTATGGGGTGGGGTGGGGTGGGGTGGGTACAGATTAGGATTAAATATGGAAGGTGAGCAAATCTCAGACTTGGAGTCTTTAGACTCCATCTGAAGACATGTTTGCAAAGTTCTGCGGGGAAGGTATACAGGAGAAAAAAAACAACCCCTGCTGAGTTACCCAATGCCCATTGGCGGCAGGAGAGGGCGGCGTGGCCAGCCTGGCTGCGGGCCTTAGCCTTGAAGTGGAGTTCAGATGTGGGGACAGGGCTGCAGGGAGCCTCTGACGCCACTAAGGCCCGTGGAGGGGACGCTGGCCTACAGCTAATCCACACTGCTGGACTCAGGACCGCACGCTTCCCTGAAACGCCCTTTCCGCTTGTCCTGGTGTGCCCCTGAGAACCTGAGAACCAAGCTGCAGCTGCGCAGGGTACAGGTGACCTTCCCTGGACTCCAGAAGCTCTCAGAGCCGTGGAGCCTTCCAGAGCAGGAGGGCTGGCGGAGCGGTTCTGCCCAGAACCTGGGGAGGATGTGGATCTAGGTCCCGTGTTCGCCAAGGGTCAGGCTCACCCCTGCTAGGGTGAACACTGGTTGGTTCTTGGGTGGCAGGCAGACCCTGGGCACGATAGTGGTTTGTAGCCCCTAAGGGAGCACAGCTTTGAATGCCATGGCGGGTGGTGGACAGGTGCTTCACCCGCCCAGGATGCTTGGGGATGGGGAGATGGTGGAGAAGAGGCCGAGAAGCAATGGCTGTGGCGCCCTTGGGCTGTTCCTCCTGATGCTGTAGGTTCACTTGTAGTTTAGAATGGAAGCGGTGGCACCCTGGGACTGTGGCATGGGCCGCCAGCCTTGTCAAAGCCACCCCATTGGCTCCAGTGTGCTCAGCGTCATCAGGAGAATGAGGCAGCAGCCGTCAGCAGTGTGACCTGAGTGGAGTGTGCCCCATACCTGAGTCCAGCTCGGACTGACAGGAAGGGTCGGTTTACCAAGAATAGGGAGGGGTCTGCCTGCTTCAGATCAGCCCTTCCGTTAGGTACCTGATGCTTAGCTACATGATGTAGTTTAAACATTTTCTGCTAGACATGTTGTTTTAGTTTCTTTTCCTTTTGCTCTCATAAAATACCCCCCCCCCAAAAAAAAAAAAAAAAGAAATTGAAGGAGGAAACAGTTTATTTTGGTTCACAGTTCAAAGGTCGGGTCTCTGATAACAGAGAAGTCAAGGCAAAGCTTGAGGCTTGAGGTCACGTGGCACCCACCATCGGGAAGCAGAGAGAGATGAACACATGCCATCACAGTCCCCTGTCTCCACTCAGAGTCCAGTATCCCACAGGGAAAGTGCCGCCCACAGTGGGTGGGTCTTCCCATCCCCATGAACCAAATCAAAATAATCCTCCACGCCGTGTCCAGGGGCCGTCTCCCAGGTCATTATAGATTCTGGGAAGCAGGCAGTTAACACTTAACCACCACATGTGCTTAAAAGCTTGCTATTTTTTTGAATTGGTGTAACTGGGGCCGGAGAGATGGCTCAGAGGTGAAGAGCACTTCTTGCTCTCTCAGAGGTCCTGAGTTTGATTCCCAGAACACACTTTGGGTGCCTCACAACGACCTGTAGCTCCGGCTTCAGGGATCCTATGCCTTCTTCTGGTCTCTGTGTGCCTATACAGACATCACACATACACACACACAGATAAAATAAACCTTCATAAAAACATGAAAATAATTTCAAAGGTAGATTTTATTTGTCCCATATTTTGCAGAATAATCCATTTAAAAACATTAACAAGATACTTCAAGCTGGGTGGTGCTGGTGCACAAATCCTAGCACTCAGGAGGCTGAGGCAGGTGGGTCTCTATGAGTTCCAGGCTAGCCTGGTCTACAGAGCAAGTTCCAGGACAGCCAGGGCTACACAGAGAAACCCTGTCCCAAAAAACAAAACAAAACAAAAGAACCCCAAACAAACAAAAACAAAACCATTAACAAGATGTTTATAGTAAGTCTTTAAGGTCAGTGACTCATCCTTTGTACCCAGGGCATGTCAGTTTCATGGCCACACATGAGCAGTAGCTCACTGTACAGGACAGGACATCCCTAAGATGCCTGGAACCTTGTCCTGGCATGGGTCCTTGTCCTGGTTCAGGAGATGACCCCCACGAAGAGAAAACCTAGTGATTTCGGAGGAAAACAGTGCAGGGTATTTAGAAACTGCTCATTGATTGAAGAACCTATTCGTTAGCCTGAAGAATGTAAAAGGAAGGTTTTCAAACAGCACAAATGGTGTCTGGCTTGCTTCCAGAGTCCAGGATACCGATGGCATCAGATTGTGTGACTGCTGTCAAATGGGTTACACATTGGGTTACGTAGACATTTATGCCCGCACTCAGAACGATGTGTTGTTATTGAGGAGAAAGTGGACAGAACCCACGTTCACGTCTTCAGATCTCGTAGTTTGGTTCAGCACCCCGCTTCAACCAGACACAGCCATCTTGTCTTGGCCGAGGGCACAGGACGAAATGGGAAGCCACCGGGTCTTTGGGCAGCTTCCCGTCTTGGCAGCCCAGATAATGATGCTGACGGCCGGGGCAGCAGCTCGGGCTAGTGGAGGGCTTGCCCAGCGTACGGGAAGTCCTGGCTTCGCTCCCCATCACAGCCAGAACCAGGCATAGTGGTCCATGCCTGTAGCCGCGGCACTCGGGAACAGGAGTTCAAGGCCATCCTCAGCCACGTAGCCAGTTTGAGGCCAGCCTGGGTAACAGGACTGTCTCAAAGACAGTTCGTGTTGATCCCTGCTGATTTCAGCATGGGCTCACATTTTGCTGTTTAACAGCCAAATGCCTCCCTTCTTAGAACTGTTAACTGCCGAGGGCCGCCAGAGCGGCGGCGATGGGAAATTGCATTGAACTGACCTGTGTTTTTTTTTTTTTCTTCTTTCTTTTCGTTGTGTATCTTTCGTGCCTCCAGCAGCCTGGTAGATTGCCAGAGGACTCCCCCTCACCTCGCGGTGGTGGCCGAGGGAGTTCTTTCTAGCTCTTGCCCTCCACAGCCTTCCCACTTCCGTCCTCCGGAAAGGTAGACCAGTTCTTACAGAAGCCGTGATCTAACCTCTACGTCGTACCTTAACCCAGTGACTTGTGAAGAAACTTACTGACAGATATGAAATAGAAATGTCGGTCTAACACTTAAATCAGTTCTACTCACTAACCAACTTACATATGAACAATACCTACCTCCTTTCATTATAAGCCGTAGGTGGGCGATTAGACTCGTCTAGTTTATTGTAAAGATGATTAACTTTCATGGGTCTGAACATGCGCCTGCCTGTATGTTCATGTACCACATGCACGCAGTGTCCAAGGAGGCCAGAAGAGGGCGATGGATTCCCCTGGAACTAGAGTTACGAAGGATTGCGAGCTGCCCTGTGGGTGCTGGGAATTTAAGCTGGGTCCTCTGGAAGAGCAGCATGTGCTCTTAACTGCTGAGTCCCAATGCGACTTGTTTGAGACCCTCTGCTGGTCTCTCCCATCCTGCTGCCTGACTCTCCGGGTGGCCTTGAGGACCAGGACAAGGCACTTGAGACTGAGGCACAGCCTTTCCTGTGTGGGTCATATTGACAGACAAGTCTACAGCTATTTTTAGAATGCCACTTTAGTAGATAAGGCAAACCACTTACTATAAATATTTAAACAGCCTATTAGGCCGTCTGTATAATGGATTCAGACACTCTTCCCAGCATTTCTAGAACGAATTTAGAAGAATGGCATAGGATGTGTCTTAGGGTGTGGGTTTTTATTAGGATCAGGTGTCTGAGATTTCTCCTCTGGTTCCCCAGTATGTCCTTATCTACTTTTGAAACTTCCTCATCTACTTTTGAAACTTTATTTCCAAAGTACGCATTGATTAATTTTTATCTGGGAAACATAACTTTTACAATTTCATTTGACTTAAAATTTAAAATTTAATTTCACGCTTAATTATATTTACTGACTCCTCCCCCCCCCCAAAAAAAAAAGCCCCATGGATTTTGTTTGTTTTGAAATAGAATCTCACTAATGTAGCCCTGGCTCACCTAAAACTCACTCTGTAGACCAGGCTGGCTTGGAATTCAAAGAGATCTGCCTGCCTCTGCCTCTGCCTCTTGAGTGCTGGGGTTAAAGATGTGTGCTGCCATGTCTGGCGGTTTAAAACTGCTTTTATTGTTAAATATATGTCCGTGTGTGTGTGTGTGTGTGTGTGTGTGTGTGTGTGTGTGTGTGTGTGCGTGCGTGCGTTATGGTGTGATGTGGTGTGTCATGGTGTGGTGTGGTAGGGTTCCATTGTAGGACCATGGTATGGTGTACCAGGAGCCTCCTCCCCACAGACAGGGCTAGAACATGAAGGCTGCCCTATACAGGATGCTTTTGTTGGAAAGATGGGTGGTCAGCGGGCGCCAAGGGAAAGGCAATTCTGGCATTGTGAAATGAGGGTCAAACAGCCCGTAGTCTGGCTTCAAGGAAGCGTCAGGGCCAGGCTAGTTACACATGGCCACAGTATAAGAGGTCTCCGCTTGTGCCAACAGGAAACGCCATCTTGAGTTGGAGGTGGAACTTGACTTAGATAAGTGAGGCTCAGTGCAGTTGGGGGGAGGGCGATGGACGGACACAGATAGGGTCTGTGGAGAGGCCGTTTCCTGCTTCTGTAAAAAGGCTGCTGTGTTCCTCATGAGGAAGTGGTATGAGAATACAGAGAAAGGAAACCACCTCTCGGCTCGGTGTCTGAGAAGGCGGACCTAAGTTGACTTAGTTTTAGCCCATTAATTTGGCTGAATGGACATAGGACTTGGTTCAAGTGTTAGAAGTAAAAATATGCAATGTGGAGGTGAGATGTATCGCCATCACGTAGGTGTGGTGGGTTGGCAAAAAGCCTTTGATGTGTTCCTGGAGACAACAGTCTCATGATCCAGTGGGTTGAAGTTGGCAGTCCAGCTGTTTTCCCTGTTCTTAAAGCCGGTGTTTACCTGGGATACAGCGTCAGCTGGCCAGGACCCTTTGCACACCTCTGAAGGCTGAGATGCTTGATAGGAAAACGGGAGCGCAGGGCCAGGACAGGAGAGCAGTTTGTACTGGAGCCCCTCCCCCGCTTTCCTGTCTCTTTGCCTCTCTGATTCTTCCTCCTTCTCCTCTTCTCCTTCTTTTATTAGTTCTCGGAGAGTTTTAAGTTCTGACTCTATCCCCCTGCTCCCCCAAATTATAGCTCCCGTTTCTTAATTTGGCACCAAGGCAGGCCCCCTTGTTGGAGGTGGTGCGCACTGACCTCTGGTGGCCAAAGGAGGGATTGTCAGAAGGGGAGGGCAGCAGAGATCCGTTTTCTGGGTTGCTAGAACATGACTGGGGGACAAAACCAAGGTTTTCCTTTTCTCACTCAAACGATGGGTTTGTGTTTTCTTAAGCCCTTCAGGCTCCCGCCCCTCAACACCAAAGAGTGATTCTGAGTTGGTGAGTAAGTCTGCGGACAGGTCGACACCGAAGAGTAACCTGGAAATGCTCTGGCTTTGGGGCGAGTTGCCGCAGGCTGCAAAGGTAAGCCTTTTTGTCTCAGCTCCGCGGCCCACCGAGGGTTTCTGGGTTAGCTCCAGTTGCGTGGAATTAGTATCCCGGCATTGCAAAGGGATGCACGCCGGGGCTGTGACTCAGTGAACGTGTGTGTTACGGGGCTTTGTGAAGTCTGTGTTTTCATCATGTGAACTTAGACTGTAGATCACGACGGGATGTCCGAGTGCAGACCAGTCACTCCTGGCTAGGTGGCTCTAACTGCAAACCTCCTGTGACCTGTCTTTGTTTGTAGGGACCCAGGGATATCAGCTAGGGAGGGGCCTGCCGGTGCTTGTCAGCTTTTCTGTGACCGCAGATCCCTGCGTGGTAAATGTCCCGCCACCATCAGGCCTCCTGAGTTGCGGTTTGGGGGAGGAACTTTATTGAAATCAGACACACGTATCTATAGAGATACAGGTCTGCAGTATGCAGCTCTGTATTTTCACACTGTGTGTGTGTATGTCTGTCAGCCTGATCCCAGGTCCCAGAGAGGCTGTGGGGGGCAGCAGCGTGGAGAGCCTTGGGGTTCTCAGCGGCCGCCCATGCTGACTGCCACCTGCTTGCCCTGTGGGCGCAGGGACTGCTTTTGCAGGGTCCCCCGTTGTCCTGCCCTGCGCAGACGGGATGCGTTTCTTCTCACTGCTGCTGAGAAGCCCATCCCGAGGTGTGAGGTCTGCTTCCCGTTCTGCTGAGCGCCCTGGGGGCTGCTGGACGTGTGGCCTGATGCTCACCTCGCTGCCTCTCTCACGCCTCCTTGGAAGCAGTTCCTCTTTTCTTCCTTGTGCATGTTTAACTTTTACTCGTCGCCGTAAATATAACTGAGATCTGCCTAGACTCGGAGGAGAACGAGGAAAACAGGGAGACCAAAGAGCTGCCGGGAGCACACAGAGCTCGTGGGAGACGGCGAGCATGGGGTGGGGGCGGGGCGCTCCTCAGCACAGCAGGCGTGGCCTGGTGACGATGCTGCACATGAGTTAGGGTTAGAAGTGTCAGAGTTGTCCCAGCCGGCCATCGTGTCCCTCCTCAGTGTCCACAGCTCCCACGATGCCCTGCTGTCTCCTCCAGTCTTGGCAGTGTAGGGGAAGAACCGGGACCCGGTGTGTTTGGTGCAGCTTTTGCTGTGGGTGAGGAGGATACCAGGGCTGTGGTGTTTTCTCTGGAACACGATTGCTGCTCTTGGCTTCTAGGCAGGCTCGGGGCTCACCAGGCCGCCCGTCCCTGGGGTTGAAGATTCTCCTTGACGCAGATCCTTGACTGACCTCGGCTTTGCTCTTGGCCTGGCTCTCAGCGATCTGTTCTCTCTTCTAGACGTCTTCTCCACACAAGATGAAGGACTCCAGTCCCTTAGGGAGCCGGAAGATCCCCGATAAAATCCACTTCCAGGCCATCCACAGTGAGTCTTCGGACACCTTTAGCGACCAGTCGCCGACCCTGGCCCCGGGGCCGCTGGTGCAGCCGCCGAGCAAGACTCAGACGGAAATGCAGTTTGTGAACGAGGAGGACCTGGAGGCCTTGGGAGCCGCGGCCCCACCTCTACCCGTGGCCGAAGAGCTGAAGCCCCCGGCTGCCTGCACGACACAGGCAGCAAGCAAGACAGACTCCCCGTCCAGGAAGAAAGGTACGGAGCCAGCCGGCCGGGCCTGGGCTCCCTGCTCACCCCCAGGCACGCTGCTCGCACCGGACGCTGCAGCTTCCTCCAGAGTTTCCAGTGTTTCAGAGAAGACCTACATCCGTGACACCCATCGTGGTGAATCTTTAATCTGTGCCCTTTTGCCAAGTGAGGAGATTGCGTGTCCCTTATCTCGAGTGGGGCCAGACACGTTTAGCATTGTTAGCGATCTTTCTGTTTCTCTGACCATGTCAGTGACAGTGTAGCCCGATCAGCTCACCATCCATGCCGACGAGTGATGATCCTGAGCCCGCCCTGGCTAGCCAGATAGCTTGGTGCGAATACTCTGGGTTTGTGTGAACCACCTACACGGTTCTTAGTAGAGAGGAGGTCCATGGGAATGGGGCACAGGGACCCATCAAGCAGCTGTCGGGGTACTGCGCCTTTAGAGTGTCAGCAGGGAAGTATTCGGGAAAGGATTTGTCATCCACAGTCAGTAATTATGGTAACCATAGCTTCAGTGTGGAGGGCTTGGAACCTGTCAGGTCCTCTGCAGATGAGGGCTGAGGCCAAGTGCTTGATTTCCTCTGGGCCAGGAGGAAGGGAGAGCCGGAGCCTGCTAGTTCTGCAGTGGTGTGCTTGCCGGCTTCTCACCGTGTGGCTTTTGGGCCAGGGGCAGCCGGGCCACCGGGGAGCAGATCTGCACTTTGGGCTCAGATGCTCTCCCCGGAGATGGCAACTTGTGAGTTGGTTTCTGATCCACTCCATTTACTCTTTCAGATAAACGGAGTCGACACCTGGGAGCTGATGGCGTTTACCTGGATGACCTCACAGACATGGACCCTGAAGTGGCAGCCCTGTATTTCCCCAAGAAGTAAAAGTCCCTTTCATTACTCAGACTACTTTATGCTTTGGTTTTCGAGATAGGGCCCCACTGTGTCATCTAGGGTACCCTTGAACTGGTGGTGTTCCTCCTGCCTCAGCTCCTCGGTCGGTTGCTGGGATTGCAGGGTTGCGCCATCACATCTGGCCTTGATAACATTTTCTGTACTCTGAGAGGAGCCCATTTTGCCTTGGCCGATCGGAGAGGAAGCAGGGACATTGAAGGCTCACACTTAACCTGGGCACAGCCTGGGCTCTGTGTGCTGCGGGAGACGTGTGTGTGTGTGTGTGTGTGTGGGGCGGGGTTAGGGGTTGGGAGGCTGAGGGGATGGACAGACAAGTGACTGTCCTCTACCCTCTTCATAGGAACGTGGGCTCAAGGCGCTCAGTGGCCCACGGTCCGAGTGAGAGAGACCTTTGTATGGTCCTCCCTGGAGGGATTCGCATCCAGTCCTTGGGGAACGCAGCCCTAGCTCCCTTGAGATACAGGGAGGGCCAGGGCCAGGGGGGTAGCAGCGGCCTCCCGGGCACACGCTTTCTCTGAGGTTTACTTCAGATGGGTTTGGAGACTGTGTCAGGCCCTCCTGAGGTGGCTCGTTTGACTTTGCCGTCTGTACCGATGTTTGGATGGGCTGCCCTGAGGTGACAGAATTGCTTCTCTGAGGTGGTGCGGCTTTTCCGGAGGGTAATTTGATAGACTAGTAGGGGTGAGGCCGGCAGGGTGCTCAGAGCAGCTTCTCTCTCCCCTCCTTTCAGCGGCGATCCTGCGGGGCTCCCCAAACAAGCCTGCGACAATGGAGCCAGGTCGGCCAACCAGTCCCCACAGTCCGTGGGCAGTTCGGGCGTCGACAGTGGTGTGGAGAGCACCTCGGATGGCCTGAGGGACCTGCCCTCCATAGCCATCTCCCTCTGCGGTGGCCTCAGTGACCACCGGGACATCACCAAAGGTACTAGGCTGTACGGGACAGCACCCGCTAGTGGCCGCTGGTCGGAAGGGTCGGGGGAGGGGGGGGGGGCTGAGGCTTCTTGGGATCAGTCAGTCCTCTCTCTAGCTGCTGTTTGTGGAGGCTGAGAGCGCAGCAGAGGTTCACCGTTGCGGTCGGCTGTCCTCAGAGTGCAAGGACAGGATGCGAGGGACTTCAGGGCAGCAAGAGGGCTGTTGGGGGCACTTATCCTCAGAGGCGATCGCCGAGCACAGTCGAGTGTCCCCTGTGCCCAGGGCCGGCCCTGAAAAATGTTCACGGTGAACCTGCGGGTGTGGGGAGTGGGGTGGGACCCCGGCAGGGGTGGGGGGAGGTGGAAATAGAGGGTGGTGGTGGGGGTGGGACTAGGCACATCAGTCTTCCTGTAACAGAGCGTTGGGTGTGTGTGTGTGTGTGTGTGTGAAATCTAGGGCTTGTAGAGGAGGGAAGGCAGGTTGAGTCAGTTTGGGGGATTCTGGAGATGTTTCCCCACTGGGTTCCAGTAGCTGCCATGCTGGTAGGCCTTGGTGACTTACGCATCCCACGGGCCGTACTGGGAAGTGACAGCCGAATGAATATCTTGCGACGGGTCCATGTGAGTCGCGCCTCAGATCCCCCGCTGGTGCAGCAGCAGCTATTGGCTGTTGAATTCTTGAACCGGACCTAATTCCCCTCCGTCCCGTCTCCCCCTCCACCACAGCCTTTTCTGTTTCCAGCACGGGGGTGGTGGTCATGCTCTCAGTGACCACACTTCTTCCTCTTCCTGCTCCAGTGACCATTGTGAAGGCCCTGCTAGGCTTTGCAGATCCTTATGCACAGACTGGGTCCTCTTAGTCCAGCCTGGGTGTCACCAGCCCTTTATGGCGGCTCGTTCCTTTTATCCTTGGTATCTCGTAGACCACAGCTCTGAGTACTGGGTCTGTTATGTTCCTGAGCTGTGATGGGCAGCTTGCTCCCTCACCACTAGAGGAGTCGGGAGGCTGGTAACTTATGGACATTCCCTCCCTGGATCTGCACAGTGGGGTGGTGGTGGGAATTCCGAGGTCCTGAGTCATCAGATGTGGCTGGAGGCTCCAGAGAGTACTTTGGGCCTCCATTAGGGTTCTGAGGGTTCTTGTGGAGGCCAAGGGACACTTTTTCTCCCTGACAGGGGTCACCTCTTGGTCTGCTGTTTTCTGGGTCTTGGTTCCTTGTAGCTGGAGTTTTCTCTCCGGGTCCCGCCAAGCCCTGGCAGTCCGACAGCCCACTTATAAAATAAACACACAGACGCTTATATTATTTAAACTGTTTGGCCTAATGGCTCAGGCTTCTAGCTATCTAGTTCTTACATCTTAAATTAATCCATTTCCATAAATCTATACCTTGCCATGTGGCTCGTGGCTTACCGGCGTCTTCACATGCTGCTTGTCATGGCGGCAGCGGCTGGCAGTGTCTCCCTTTGCCTTCCTGTTCTCTCCATTCTCCTCTCTGTTAGTTCCGCCTATACTTCCTTGCCTGGCCACTGGTGTTTTATTTATTGACCAATCAGAGCAACACATTTGACATACAGACCATCCCACAGCAGTGCCTGAGAGCCGTAGGAGTCCCCAGGGGAGGCGTGTGTATGGATTGGGGTCAGTGAGCTCCAGTGCATGGCCCAGCTGAGTGGGAAAGCTGAGGGAAGTCAGTGTCATTGGCCAGAGACACTCATCTCTGGTCCAGGGCTGAGGACTGGGCCTTTTGATCTTAGAACCTTCCTGCCCGGAAGGCCTGCGCTGAGCTGGGTGAGGCTGCCCTCTCCAAGATGATCGAGGATGAGCGTGGTCAGCACCAGCCCTACCCCGCCTGGCTTCCACCCACTGTGCAGATGTGGCGGTAGCTGGCGTTGCAGCTGCCAATGCTGATGAGGCCCTCACTTTGGGCAGGATGCTGACTGCCGTCCTCTCCCATCTTCAGGACCCCCTGAAAGTGGCCATGAGCATCATGCTTATGCTAGCTAGCGGGGAGATCACTGAGGTTTGAGTCCAGTCTTTTGTCTCAGGCCTCAGCAACACAAGTGACTCAAGGTGGTGTCCCTGGTAAACATAACTCTGCTTCTGCATGCAGACTCCATGCCCCTCCCAACCTCCACATTTGTTGACGTCTTAAGAGAATCCGACCCCACCCCAGCCTGCGGGGAAAAAAAAAAAAAAAAAAAAAAAAAAAAAACAACAACAAAAACCCCAACAGCAACAGCAAGCCAAGCTCAAGCTCCCTCCTTATAAGTGCATTTTGTAGGATTTGCAGGATTGCCTGATGAACTCCAATTTGTAAACACTCAGACAAACACATGAGAGTGAGCAAGCTGAAAAGTGGCCTGTTTCTTTAAAAAAGACACTTTGTGACTGTTTTCCCCCCTCTGTTCTTCGGCTGCTGCCACAGATGCATTCTTGGAACAGGCTGTGTCGTACCAGCAGTTTGCTGACAACCCCGCTATCATCGATGACCCCAATCTCGTGGTCAAGATTGGAAATAAGTAAGTTCCTGCTGACAGCCCTTTTGGTGTGGAACAGTGGTGTTTCCGTCAAGTCTTAATGAAGTCTCGTTGAACCTAATTATTGTCTTTTCTTATTTGTAAAATTCTGTGTCCCTATGTCCCCATGCAGCTGCTAGACTGAGATCATTGAGAGTCTTGTGGCGTGTGTGTGTGTGTGTGTGTGTGTGTGTGTGTGTATGTGTTCAATGTAAGTGTATATGCGAGGCGTGGGTACATGGTGTGTATGCATGTGTGTATGTATGCATGTGCAGGCCAGAGGTCCACATTGTCTTTGATCACTCTACCTTTTTGTTGTTTGGTTTGGGTTGGTTTTGCTTTTCGAGGCGGGGTCTTCCTGGGCAGCCCTGGCTGTCCTGGAACTATGTAGAACATGTTGGCTTCGAACTCACTGAGCTCTGCCTGTCTCTGCCTCTCTAGTGGCTGGGATTAAGGGCGTTTCCTACATTGCCTGGCCTTCTACCTTAGTTTTGGAGACAGGGTGTCTCGCTGTACCTGGAATTTGCTGTTTGGTTTAATTGGCAGGCAGGCAGGCAACCTGTAGGTATCCTCCTGTCTCCACCTCCGCAGCACTGGATTATAGGTCTGTGTCACCAGGCCTGGCTTTCCAGTGTGGGTGCTGGGGATCAGGAACTGGGTTCTTATGCTTTCACGATGGCAGACACCACATCTACCGATCTGGCCCCCCAGCCCCGCCTGTGGATTCTGACACGTGCCTGTACAGACTTGACACTGACCATGTCAAGCATGGTGCTCCGACTGTGGGACTCCAACCCCATCTGGTCCTAGGTCTGAAGGCACAGCTGCTCGTTAGCGTAGAGACATCACCATCTCAGCTCAGTCTGTGGCGTGCAGTGGTTCCTGCAGACTGTAGGCTGACTTTCCCCACTGCGAGGAAGTTGCAAGTGTTTCACATATTGACTTAGGAGGTTTCAGAGTTATCTGTCCCCTTTCCGTGAAGTTCAGTAGGACATGGCTTGGCGTAGGGACTGCCTGGGGGACTTGGCTGCTGTCCAGCTAGTCTCTAGCTGCTAGTGGCATGTTCATATGTTCACCCTACTGCCTTGTCTGCTGGTGACCCTTCCCCTTCACCATGGCTGTGAGGTGAACAGGAGAAAGGGGGTCAGTGTGTAGACAGGGTCCGTGTGGAGGGCCGGGGAGGGGGTCAGTGTGTGGACGGGGTCCGTGTGGAGGGATGGGGAGGGGGTCAGTGTGTGGACGGGGTCAGTGTGTGGACGGGGTCCGTGTGGAGGGATGGGGAGGGGGTCAGTGTGTGAACGGGGTCCGTGTGGAGGGGGTCAGTGTGTGGACGGGGTCAGTGTG